GATGATGAAAACGATACTTATTGTCTCCGTAGGGTGTAAACTATCCTGGAATTTATCCAATCTCCTTTTATCCTTTGATTGTCAGGTCGATGTCGGACTATGGTAGTCAGTTGGCATGAACAGGTCTAATTAGAAACTGACATCAGTTTGCTTGTTGTTAATTCTACAACCGTTTTTTAGAAAAGGCCCTTGTTTCGAATCTCACAGTTGCCGGCCAGCGGGTTTTGTAGCGTCCAAATCTCGGTACCTTCTCCCTTCCTCTGATTTTTTCTGCCATCCACAACTCGCAAATCTTAATATCTGCCGAAAAAGATTTTACAAAGCCGTCGTCTTACTTAGTCGCAAAAGTTTAGGCTTATCTGAAACGGGAAAGCAAATATGCTGTTGACGGGGTTTTAGCAGATATTAATATTTCCTCTGATTCAACTGGATCAAACTATGTTATAGTAAATGTGTGATCATTGGTCTCTGAAACTATCACGAAACGGTCGATTTGCTGGCTCGATCTGCGTATTAAGGCTGATGATCCTTCTGTCTCTGCGTATCGACCAGATGTGCGTATCGAGAAATGTACCTTCCAATTTCTAACATCACAATTGTTGACTTAAGGGAGAAAGCCGAAGATAGCTTACTCATTAAAATAAGTAGCCTTTGTAAGGATTCGATGCATTTATGCCTTTGTCTGACAAGACCTTCCACGTTGACCACCTTTTTTTCTTTAGGATCTCTACTCTACGATTCGAGATGATCTCCGAAAGCTCTGGATTATGCAGATAGAGTACAAGCAGTCTGCGGCCCTACCTGGCACTAAGGATTCCATCGATGAGGATCCTTTGCTTTTGGATCTGCACTTTACTTCTGAGGAGGCAAACAAAGCGTTGGCTGACTTTAAATCTTTCCTATTGAGAGTTAGTTGATTTTTTTTATTTTACGAATTCTGTTTTTATGGGTCAAACCCATCGAAATGCTGTCGCGGGACCGATCAATGCTTCATTGCCAGACCTAGGCGCAGCGTTTTGTAAGAGAACTACAATACTGTTTCAACAACCAAAAGCATATGTACTCACAATTTCTTTCTAATTTGGGTAGAAAAAACAATTAACAGTCACCATAATTAAGGAAAACAAGTGCAAATTAATAAAAAGGCCACATTTTAACGACATTACGGCATTTTAACCCAAAGATCTCGTACTCTTGCTGAGCGTATGTTCAAGAAGCTGGTCATAAGGAAATACTAGATGAGGTGCCTTGTCGACCAAAGCGGTGCTCCGTCAGAAGTATCAAAGTGTCACCCTCAGTGTCCATCTGCAAACTGGTTCAATTGTAAGATGTTTATGGCAAGGGTCTCATGTCTGAAAATTACGCCAAGTTGGTCGTGCCAGTCATTAAAACGCTTAGCCTGTCGATTACTTGCCAGTGAACATTGGCGCCATGGCAAGGGAGACTGAAATGGTCATTTCTAGCTCACCAGCAAATGTTTGAGCGTTGTGTGGACTCTAAAGGACTCTCTGGGAATGAATCTCTGACGGAATCTGGCAATTCAGATGAATAGTTCTTTTCCTGCTGTCACATCTCCTTATTCTCTACACCAGAGCTCCCGATCCAAGCAGGCCGCCTGCAGTGTATCTTTTCCCAGGCTTACTCGCTGAAAGTTACCCGTACGATGATGAATTCGTCGTCCGTGATGTCAAATGTTTGAAACCCAAACGAAAAATCATTTGGGCTCGAAAGATATGCATGTGGAGTTTACTATAGGGAGCACTTTTTTTTCATTTCAGACGGGAAGAGTTTGTAAGGAAAACGGTTCCGGTTCCGTCACCCATGATCACAGTGATCCTCCAACGCTTACTCGTCAGGCTTTTAACGTATGACAATTATCTCTTGGTGCATAACTTCAGCTGGGAAGATTATTCCTGAGAAAGAGTTGTTGCATAACGCCTCATGGTGACATCCTATTTTGGGTCCCAGAAGTTGTTTAAATAATCCAATGTTTTCGAAACAAAAGAGCGCGCCATAAATAAACCCACAGCTTTCTTTTGCATTTCTTATTTACTTATTATCATTGATTGGGTGTGACAAGTTTGGGCATTTTTTATTTTCTTATAATTTATAGTTCGTTGGGTTTCTTGATTTTGCTAAAAAAAAATTGGCGGTTGGGACGTTGTCTATTTCAACCTACCCGAGCTCCAACTTACCGCTCTGGAGTTAGATTAATATAGTTTGTTTGCATGCGACACCACTGTTAGTTAGTTAATTTATTTTGGTTAATTTAACTTATTTATTTGAAAGTTCGGTTTTCACTTGAGTTTCCATTTCACTATTATGCTTATTATTTTTCATTTGAGTTGTAGATTATTTTTAGTTCAGTGAGTTTAACTTACATTAGCTTTCGTTTTTAGTTAGTCGATTTTACATTTAGTTAATTACTTTTGAATTTAATTTTTCCCAATATTATGCATAATTGCACATTTTAACTGTGGCGCACTTTTATGTTGACAAACATTGGATTATTTAAATAACTACTCCTGTTTTTTCTACTTTTGAAAACTGTTTTGTTTAAATCTCCTTTCTGTTGTATTTCCCAAACTGTATACTCTTTGTTACACCCGGTCCTGTATTACAGAGGGATGGGGCTCTCGCGTCCTGATCCGGGACCCAAAGTAGGATTCTGCCCGGCTCATGAGGTTTAAGATGCAAGAAAGTTATTTCCTGCTGCTTCATTCTACCTGATTTCCTATTTCCTAGCACTGATGCTTTGAGCGTGGTTTAGTTTGTCTCAAATCTGGTTAGAGGGAGAGTATTCTCTTCCTCTCAGAAGACCGTTCTCGTATTTGGTTTTACATAATTTTTAGTGTGCTACTTACTGTTTTTAAGGTTTTTTGTATTTAGAGTGCCCTCTACGTAACTAAGCGCCCAGAGTAAATGCATGATGCCTCTATTGACTCCAGCTATCCTTTTTGTGAATTGTGCCTTCAGAGTGTTCTAAAACCTGTTTCTAGAACCGCAAAACGTCCTCAATCCTGCAGCCTATGTGACGTATATATACTGCAGATTGAGGTTACGCCAAGACCTGCGCAGAGAGGGATGTATTCGGCTACTGCAGTTGTGACGAGTAGACTTCACCCTCGAACATCCCTTGAATGCAACCGATGACATTTATAAGGAAATCCTTCCAGATTTTGCCCCCTCCCTCCACAATTCTACCCTCCTTATTTCCGCCTATGCTATGACACAACTTTCGTAAATCCGCGGTCTTTCAACGATTTCCCTTTTAAAATATCTGACTTACTGTACACGTTTCCCTGCTCTCGCTACTTTTAAATATAAACGCCGACTGCGCAGCCCTTGGCTGCACACCTTTGCCCCAATTCCAGGCAGAGGCCTTTAGTTGTTTGGGACTTTTGTATTGGTGAACGCGCGTGATTTCGGTGGAGAATTGGGTAGATATCTAATTTACGTTCCAAAAAATGTTTAAGGAATCCAACGTTATCGCAAAAAAATAAACGCGTAATAAAGAAAAAGAAGAATTTACTTAGTTACACTTCGTAGTTATTTTGAGTTAGTTTATTTTTGACATTATTTAGGTTATTTATTTTATTCTTATTTTAATAATGTTAATTTAAGTTCTGCTTTTAGTTAGGTCTTCGGTTCATTACTATATTTTTTATTATTTTTACTTTTGATTACCTCTTTGGCTGTCTGTAGGAGTCGTTTATTATTTTAAAAAATACTTCACAATTTCAGTCGTTTGACCTTCCAACGAAGATAAAAAATGGATAACCGTTAGAAAGCCGGGCTACTGAAAACATGGAAGTATTATTTGATTTTTTAAGTTTAGTTTTGCGTAGTTTCCAATATTTGCCTAGTTGCACCTTTAGTTATGGCACGCCTTTTTGTTTACAATCATTACATTCAGATTATTATTCCTGTTTTTTTCTACCTTTATAAATTTTATTTTTTATTTACATTATCTTTCCTCTGCATTGCCCACGCTATATAATATTTATTGTACCCAGTCCCGTCTTACAGAATGATGAGTGTTTCGCGTGCTGATCTTGGAGGTAAATTGCGCCATCTGTCTGGCAAAAGACTTTTTTTAATTTCCAATATAGATGAAAACGTTCGCGTTCCAGGTATCTGCATGGATAAGGAAGAAGACTTGTCGAGCACTGGATCAATTGGTTTATTGTCCTGAACTTTCGAACTTTTACAGGAGTCCATTTTCAGATATGAGAAGCAGCAACCAAAAGGAGGGTAATTATAGTGGCCATAGGCCAATCAACTGTCAGCGGTCATCAGGGCGTCAAGGGGTAAGAAACATCAATGAAAAAGGATGAGGGTGGCAGGGCAATAATAGTGGTATACGCTAATTAACTGTCAGTAAAGCCGGCAGTCGTCCGGGGTCATAAACAGTAATTAGTGTAATGCCTTCTCCCCACGGTAGAGGGTCCCGGTAATCCTGCCTCCTCTACTGACCTGTTGGTCGTGGGGTCTTATTCGTCTGTTCGGTTTGGCTTTGTTCCCTATTTTGCTCACATAATGGCGCAAGACTCTGTAGGCCACGAGGAGGTCT